GCACCTTTTGCTGTTCATGGAGGACGAGCTCGCTTGCCTTCTTGTTTGCTTGTTGACTAAAGCATGGATTGATGATCTGCCCACCGTCCGATCTCAGGTGAGTGGGGATGATGGAGGTCGGGTTTGGTGGGGGAGGGAAGACAGGCTGGGGAACGTTACATGATACGAGGGCCATGACAACATGCTACCTACATGATCATGGAGCCTCTGGAACATCACTGTTTCATCACATGCTTGCAGGGCTTACATGGAGGCGCAAGTGTTTGAACTCATACAAAAATAGTATTTAGATGGATGTGATGGGTGAATTTGCATGGACTGACGATATGGACGAAGAATGGCATGTATGCAAAGGTAGTATGAACTCATATTAATCCATGCTTTACTATTTAGGTAGTGTTTGAACTCATATTAATATTTACTGTATAGCAGCACCTTTTTATTGAGAATTTACTTAGGGACATCTTATATATATATATATATATATATATATATATATATATATATATATATATATATATAGAATTGACAAATATAATATTTATCTTTCAAGTTTATTACTTGATTTTTGTGTTAACACTCACTTTTTTTCTCCGGTAGCGTGTGGCTACGACAGCTTGTGAGAAGTGTGTGTGTGTTGACCTGAGTTTTTGTGTCTGTTGACTAGAAATATCGAACGCGTATTCATGTGATGAGATGAATATTGTAGTTTTTCTATCAGGAAAGGAAAGAATGTTGCACACATTAAGAAGAGGCATCGATTCACGTAAATGTCAGACCCAATAAATTGTGTGTGATGGGGATCAACAACTCAACCTAAGTAAAGGCTTGAGCTATTCACCCCAAAAGCTCATCCTATAATCTACGCGATTATCTTATATTCTAACATAAACAAATTAAGCTCTTCCACGACATACGAGAAATTAAATACGTACACCATCGTATTATTTTTCTGAGGACTTCCTCCTCCTCTCGCTTAACGTTGAATCCATTAGGTCAACTATATCGAAACATCGTCTCATGTTGACACTCATTAGGAGGACAAGCCAACAATAATTATCTTTATATAGGAAACTAAGTGTAACATAAGCATGTACTGATTGGTCAAATCTTGGAAGTCCCACCTCACAAATGGCTTCATGCTTGTTCAAGCCATGTCAGACCGAGCATGTCTGTTTCGTGCATGGACGCAGGTGCAGGGCAACGTTACTCTTGCTCTGAGCACCAATGGGTTCTCTCTCTCTCTCTCTCTCTCTCTCTCTTCTCT